CTAATAACACAGCTGTGCATTTAATTACATATGTGTGTGAGATCCTGTTAACTAATACTGCCCTAATACAAAATGAAGATTTTAGACTAGAAATTTGTACGGGAAATTTATTCATCTGGAAGTGGTAGTTTGATTTTACCTAGGTAACAGCAGCTATATTCGATCTAGACATTTCATCTTGGCTACAATGTATTAATTATTATATTATATTGATATACTTTATAACTATTATGAAATAGATATTATGAAAAGAAAGCATAATATAACGAACAATGAAAATATTAGAAATTAATTTCTTTCGGGTTCAAGTACCACGAGGGGGATGCATACCTTAATATACCCAGCACCAACCACTCTAGATAATCTTGGTCTCTGGGTATCTAAGACCCCAGAAAGCTCCATCAATACGACTGAGACCATTTAAGACGACTGTCACTCTGTTAGCCAAGTAGTCCAAGTAGTCCCCCCCCCCCAAAATGGTAAAACATAACCACGGTTTATGAGAAAAAAATTAAAAACTACCTCTTAAAGTATTATTGTTGGTTTAATTACATTTAAAAGGACTTAAGGAATCACTTAAACACCATTTCATATAGGTAGTTAGTTTCTTTCTGTTTTTCCAAAGTAAATATCGTTATTTTGATGAAAAAAAAAAGCTTCCGGGCTGAAGCCCCCCCCCCCAAAAATTAAATCCTGGATCCGCTAGTGGTCCAAGTGAGGCGTTATATTAAACTTTCTTCCAAATCTTAAACCGAGGTAGGTTCCCACCTCACTTGGAGTAATCGTTACCTTGTATCTCCAAGGTGATTGCAAGTTCTCAGTCGTGACCTTTAGTAGGATTACTTGGGTTTTGGCAGCAGCCTCATTCTCCTACTTCGACACCAAGAACCTATCAAGTTAACGCATCTTTCTGTCTCCAGTATGACGCCTGCTCTGCTATCGGATGCCACTACAGCGGCTAAGTCGTCAACATAAGCCGTTACTTGGTAACACCAAAAGCTCACCGAAAACTAAGTTCTACAGAGCAGGACCAAGAACAGAGCCGTGTGGTTCTGTGGTCTCTGGAGGGTTCTTAATCTCGTAGGAACTATCTCTAATCCTCACATGTCTGTCCTGTAAGTAGCTTCTCAGAAGAGTATATAGGTTTCTGGGGGTATCATATCCCTGCTGTTCCCTTACCCTTAGAGGATCTGCTGATTAGAGGAGCTGTCCCCTTACCCTAACTGCCGTGGATGGCTCGCTTTTATTAAAACTGGTCGCAGGCAATTTTACTCTTAGGCAAAATAGGTAATATTAGGGTGTGATCATCCTAATATTACCCCTCCATATACGACCTTTGTATCCACATATCACAGTTACCGATCATGATTAATAGTAATAAAAACACCAAACTCACAGATTTTTTACAGAAAATATAAATAAATTAAATCATAGCAATATAATATAATTTCAGATTTGGCACCTTCATAAAAAAAAAATCTAGTATTTTTGATATATTTTGAAACCATTTAAAAGTTGAAAATAGAAAACTAGAACTACAGAAAGCTCCAAGTATATAGTGGCATTCTTTTAACACTTTTGAATCCATATATCACAGTGACCATGATTAATAATGATAAACACACCACATTCACAGATTTTTAAAGAAAATACAAATAAATTAAATAATAACAATATAATTTCGGATATGGTACATTCTTAAAAAAAATTAAAATTTTCGATATATTTTGAAACCATTTAAAAGTTGAAGATCGAAAACTGTAAGTACAGAAAGGTCCAAGTATATAGTGGCATTCTATTAACACTTTTTCAGGCATAATTTAATTTTTAAAATATATAGAAATAAGACAATGGTAAAAAAAAAAAACCAAGGAAAGAAAAAGTTAAAAATAATAAAATAAATACCTTAAACACGGAATTACACCTATACACTACGTTAGAGAAAATAAAGTATATAGAGAACAATAAAAAATTGAAATATATCACAGGTCATAATAAACTATAAGGATTAATAAGTGGCAATATAATCGGATACTTAGCAATTATTATATAAATATTTTGACATCATTGGGGTTAATAATTTAAGTAGGCTATGTATGATTAATTAAATAATACATATTTAAATTTAATATTCTAAAATATTATGAGGATCAGAAATTATCTAAAATTTATCAGAGTGGCAGCATGGCCTAGATCCAGTTTACAGAGATAAATCAATATTACTTAAGCTAAAACGTTTATGCCTATCGTTAGGCTCAATTTTAATTTGTTAAATGTTAAATTATTTTCAAGCATATATTATTAAGAAGTACATTAAAATAATATTCAATTCTTGGCCAGGAATTTTTTCAATCATATTCAATAATTTTATTTTCACCAAAAAGATTCTAATTTATTTAATTGTACACAAATATATATTGAAATATGTTAACTCATGTATCTGTTACATAAAGAGTAACCGATTTATTTTAAAAAATAATTTTATCATTTAATGTTTTATGTATATATACATAAATTTAATAGAGTGTAGAAACATTTAAACCTATAATACCATAAACAAAGCATATTGATATTAAAGATGTTTACTTAATGTTTAACTTTGTTGTCTATTCTTCTAATCAGATAATGTGTATTTATAAACTATACATGCCCTATTATTTTTATAATGTAATTATCAAATTTTAATGATCAATTAAAGATTTTAAAAACAAATATTGCTAATTTCTTCTCTTTTTTTTTTATCAAATGTTTAGATTGTAAACAGCAGAAACTTCAGAAGTTCCCACCACACACTATACAATAGTCATCATTTCAAAGTAATTATTTTAATAATATAATAACATTTATAATTAAGATTTATTGTTTATTTTGAAATTAATCTTTTCTTTGTTATATTTTAAATTATATTTCACAACTTGTCTTTCGTTTAATAAGTTTTAAACTACAATAAAAATTGTAAATTCTTCACTTTTATTTTGCTTATATTTGGAAGTAATACGTTATTATTATTATTATTTTAAAAGAAGATGACAAAAATAATCTTTTAAAATATTCTATTATATAATCCTATTACAGGTATCAGTTTCAGTGGACAAGCTTATATCTTTATTTTACTAATTTATAATACCTCACTTCGGTTTTATCATCATTTGTGTAAACTTTCTCTTTCTTGTGTTTTCGGAAAAAGAATTTCTAAAAAAGTAATTTGAACTTATTTAAAAAAAATAATCTACATTTTTTTTTTTTTAATTTTCAAAGGATAAATAAAATTTTAAAATGAGAAATAAAAATTTGTACAAGAAACAAAAACTATGTAATACGTTAATGTATTTATATGTATTATAAATAAGTATTTTTATATGTAGTATGTAAAAATACATTGTAGTTACTTAACACTCGATTGTCATTTAATAGTTGTCATTATTTAAAACAAATAAAATATTTCTACTATCACAGTTAATTGATATAATAAGTTTTCAGATCAGAATATGGAGTAACATAATTTAAGAAACATGTAATGATGTATATTACATATTTTATGTATATATTGTGGTTAAAATTATAAACTATTTTCATATATTTACTATAACAATAATTATTTAAGAATTAAATCCTAAACTTTCATTTTCTTTTTAAAAGAAGGTAGGGTATCATTTTGAGAGACACGAAATTTTATATGAACTGAAATAATTTTTTTTTAAATCGACGGTTTATTGTAAAATGGCATTAAGTAAATCTTCATGAAATTAAATCCCTATGAAATCCACAAAACCGTTCTAGAAAGTTTAGCTGCATCAAGAAACTTTTTTTTGCAATTAATTTACGATATTATGATTAAAATGTGATAATTATTTAATGTTTGTATTTGTCACAATTTAGTAAGTCTTTTAGTAATATTGCATGAAGTACTTAGTACTTAGTATTGTGTAATTAATGTAACAATATTTGATATATAAAAGGATTGGTGTCATTTTTGTGCATTTACAATATTTTTATATACACAAATAAAAATGAAAATTTAGTTCCACCAAAGATGTACTTAGTACATTTTTGCAATTAAGATCACAAATTAACAATTATTAATGTATGTTGAAGAGAAGACAAAGGGATCAGTCAAAAAAAAAAAAAAAAGCAAAAGTAAATAAGTATATTAATTTTTAAAAATTAAATAAATAAATATACTTATTTATTTTTACTATTTTTTTTCTTTTTTTTTTTTTTTTTTTTTTTTGACTGATCGCCTCAAACATTCTTCTCTTTAATTATTTACTAAGGTCAAGCATCAATCCACAATTATTAATGAATGTATTTATGTGATTAGTTGTTTTAATAATTGGGCCATTTTTTTTATTCATTTCTTTAATTTCAACCATATTGTTATTGAAAGATGGTATCAGTCATAAAAAACAATAATAAAAATATTTGTATTGCTATATCTTCAATTCCTATTTAATGTATTATTTACTTTAAATGTTTTGTTTAAGAAGGTAGGATATTATTTAATATGAGGAACATTTTGAGTGATTTGAAACTTTAGTATATTACGTTTAAAATAATTTATAATACATGAAGTATCATTGCATGAATTTTTCAGGTTTTAGTAATAATAACAACGTTTTCATTAATACGATATACTTAAAAATGGCTGCAAAATAATTAAAACAAAAAATGATTTACATTTAAATATAAATAAACAAAATTAAAATAATGCATAATTTTAAAATGAACATTCATTGAGTAGTTAAGTATGTACAATTTTATGTTTTAATTTATTTTTCAAAGATCAGTGTTGTGTTATATGATTTTTGTTCTGTGTACTTGTTTTTTTTTTTAGAGAAAAAGGGAAAGTCAGTTTATGTATTAAGGAATTGATCAGGATTTGTAATTATAGTTGTAAATACTTGATTAAATAATTATAATTTTTTTTTCGCTTAAGAGGTTTCTTCTTTGGGATAGCTAAAGCCACGGGGGTAAGAGCACACTCATGACTGAAGACTCACCTGATTTTTCCTGATTGGCTGCGACGTTGAAGCGTACAGGATGACGTTTCCTCATGTCACTAACGCGCTCCGACGTTTCGCAAGAAGACAACAAGACGATAACAACGCTTAGAAGACACACAAGCCGTGACGAACACTGGGCACAGACTAGAGTGGAGACACTCCGACTCCGAGAGCATCCCCACTTCAGGCGCCTCCCACCAGCTCCAGGGACACCCGATCGATTCCGATTTCCAACACAGTTTGTTTTTCTCATATCCAAGAGGAGGGGTTTCCCGATTTAGGCGGGTTTCTAGGAAGTTGACGGGAGTTCGCTTGAAATTTCATAGAAGGAATTAAGATTTAAGGAGAATTTTAACTTATCTTATGTGGAATTCCCACTAAAATTGAGAACTGTATCAAATTACAATTTTATATAAGATAACTCTCCATCATAGAAATTCTTATATAAAATTAAAATTAAACTTCTTCTTTTGCCACCTCCTTAGTGCCATCAGCGTGGATCCACGGGGTGGGGCTTTAGTGCTGAAGCCCCCCCACCCCAAAATCGGTAAAATATTTTTTTTTAATTTTTATTATTGAAATTTATAACTATATAATGAATAATACAACTAGTAAATATGAAATAAGTAAATTGGCATGTACAAAATGAAGAGAAACTACACATTGGTAGTAATCCAATTATATTTCTATATTAGAAGGTCCCGAGGCCATCTTCTTTTCAGACGCCTTGGAGGGTTCGGATGGTTCAGAAGTTTATTATGAAAGGATAGATATCTGGATTGAGCTAAATCATAAGCATATGGTACATTAAGGTCGTCATGGATGATTTTATTTGTGACAAAGTAGGGAGCATTGAGGATTTTACGAAGGATTTTGAATTGGATACGAGAGGAATTCGATGCTTTAGTGGAACCCCAAAGCTCAATTCTTTAAGTTCAAATAGACCTTATTATAGTAATATATATGAGTCTATTGTAAATAGTTTGAAGTTTAGAGCGTTGGTCTAGTATGTGCTGCAGTAGTCGGAAACGCCGGGCGGTTTCTAGTCGTTTCAGTCTGGTATGGGAGTTCCAAGTGAGTCGTTTGTACAGGTGGAGTCCTAGGTTTCTGATTTGTTCAACAGAGATAAGTGGGCAAAAATGTGGAACGCTTCACGATTTTGCGTATCATCCTTGCGCAGGGGCCATACTTATCTTCTGTGTATCGTTCCAATTTTAGTATATGTACTGCCATGTTTTATAGAAAAAAATTATCTCTTAAAGTATTATTGTTCGAGTATTTACATTTAAAAGGACTTTAGGAATCATTTATACACCATTTTATGTAGGTAGTTAGTTTCTTTCTTTTTTTCCAAAGTAATTATCGTTATTTTTATGAAAAACAAAATTTTTTGGCTGAAGCCCCCCTCCCTAAAATTAAATCCTGGATCCGCTAGTGGCGTGGAGGAACAGCCTCGGCCCATGTCGTCCACTGATCCCTGCCACTGGGCCCTCCATCTCTTATGAGATGGAGTGGTGCTACCTCTGGCCCGCTCGAGTCTCTCCAAGTAGTCACAATATAACAGACTGGACGATCAACAACTTGGTTATTACGCCCCCGAGCAATTTTCTAACATCAAGCGTAATCAATCCTTTCAATCTAAAGTCCTTCGAAAAATAGTTGATGCTCCGTTCTATGTAACCAACAAAGCCCTGCACCATGACCTTAATATCCCATTTATTCTACACCTTATCCCAGAAAACTTCTCCAAATTTCTCCAGAGCCTTACTTATCATCCAAATCCTCTTGCACAATCTCTATCCAGCACCACCCATCCTTACACACAATCCTCCTCGAAGGTTGAAGCGGCAGTGGTCCAGAGACCTTCTGTGAATAAGCATATATTGGAGTTTTGGCAATGGCCAATTATAGCGCCTCTCCTCAGCCTCTACTGGTTCTTAATACCAATAATGTGGCTCAGTGCGAGGCGCTGGGATCTCCTAGCGTCATGCCTTTCCTTCCACGAGTGGGAAGAAAGGCTTGGCTCGGAGTTCTCCTGAGTGAATGTATTCTGTAAATATTGTATAGTATGCATGCGTTTTAGTTGCTATTTTCATTAGACTAGTTCTTTTGTTTATATACATTTATTTTTATTATTATTAGTTTCTGTATTATTTATTTTTATTATTGTAAATAGAGTGTGAGTGTGCTCATTGAAATAAATGTCCTTGATTGTGACAGAATGTAATATTTCTAAATTAACAAATAAAAAAATCTTTCTGGATGTAAAGAAAAAAAAATTTCTTTTCATATATTGCCTTAATTATTATATTCTATGGTAAAGTTTGTTTTTTAATGCTAGTTCTCAACAATAAGGTATTTTGTTTTTTACAAAGATTTGATGTAGTAATATACAATCATCCATTATATGTTTTATGGTTATTAGAGCACAACTTGACGGAAACACTCAATAAAGTTAGAATCGGTAATAATTTGTCCGAAAAGTTTGAGGTTCGTTCTGGCTAAAAACAGGGAGATCCACTTTCAGCTGTCCTGTTCAATTTTGCATTTAAACATGCCAATAGGCAGGTAATGGGTACCGAAAAAGGGTTGAATCTGGGTGGGACAACATCCGTGCTGGGCTATGCTGATGATCTGGTACTGTTAAGTGAAGACGTGGAAACTATAAATCTAAATACGACAAAGTTAATGAAAGCCGGTAAAGAACTAGGGAAAGAAATCAACGCTGATAAAACAAAATATATGGTAATATATCACAACCACTTTTTCTATTCTGTTTTCTTTTCTAACACAATGCCATGCCATATTTTGTACTTTTTTTAATATTTCTAAGTTTATTAGTCAGTGGAATTTAATTCAACATTAACTCCCAATTTTTTCGTACTCAGCCTTTTAGCAATTCCTGGTATCCCTGAGTGTTCTGGAGTCCAGAAAAAAATTATGCTTTTATTAAGATTGTTTATAATTTCGATGTATTGGTGAATTATGTTTATTGTAGGTCCGGTTTTATTGAAATTTGCTATATTCTGAAGGCCGGAGATTTAATCAGAACATATTCATATTTTCGAGCTTTCTATATTTATTGATAAATGTAATCCTGCAATTATGCAATATATTTTGTTGAGGTTGGGGACAATTTATACTTATTGGAGATCGATTTATAATTACTGCAAAATCGACATTATCATTCTATTTGGATCCATCAGTGTATATTATTTCATGATCTGAATATTTTCGAATTTCTTTTAGGAATTTGTTTATTGAAATCTTCGAGTTTTTGTGCTTAAAAGTGAGGTCTATTTTAACTGTTTGGTATTTCCATTGGGGCGATCTAAAAAGAGGATCAGATTGGTCATTAGGCATCTTTGCCTTATACCTAATGGAGCACTTCTTGTAGGAATAAGTTAATAATTTTTTTACGCTTTTGGGGAGAATAAAAGAGAGTTTGTTAGGGGTTTGTTAGCTGGAGTTTTAGTTTTGCAATATAATTGTTGGTTAGTTCCTACCCCTCTGGCTTTGCTTATTTTTTTTTTTTATAAATATTTATTTTATTGAGAAAAAATACATTTTGCCTCAATAAAATATCAAGTATTTGCGATGTGAGAAATTCATTCATACAATATATACAATTACAAAAATAATAGAAATAGAAAGCTTAGTAAAACAGATAAAGTAAAATATGATACAACACAAATTTAAAAAAATAAATAAATAAGAAAAAGAAAAAAAACATTCATGCTTATTTCCTGTCAGCCAAGGGGGTTCCAAGTCAGGCCTTTCCCAAACGATAATACATGAGATCCCAGCGCTTCTCTCTCAGTCGCATCACATTGAGAAACGGGATAGAATAACGTCAAGAACATAAGGGATGTTAAGATTATGATATAGAGTTTTGTTTGTAACATAATAGGGATCATTTACTATTGTACGAAGGACTTTAGACTGGAAGGATTGGATGCGTTTGATGTTTGAAAATTTAGTTGTCCCCCCCAGTTCAAGTCCGTAGGTCCAGATGGGTTTCAGTATGATCTTGTATATTAATAGTTTGTTTCCAATTGAGACGATTAGATTTTCTGTTAAGTACTGGCAAAATCGTCGGTTAAGTTCTTTTGTTTTAAGTCTAGTATGTGGGTTCCATGTTAGTCTCCTGTTTTGCCAATATTGTAGTGCAGATAGAATAAAACACACCATCGGCCTTCTTGACTTTATTTAAAACCTCCTGCTCGATCCTTCCATCCTGCCCAAGTGCTGGCAGTTATCTACCTTTTCTAACGACTCATTATTATTTTTTATGAGCACTTGGTCTTCCGCATCTCGGCCGACGAGCATCATCTTACTTTTTGTAGGATTTATTTCAATTCCCTTCCTCTGCAGTTCTTCTGACCATACCTTGACAGCTATCTGAATTCTTTCTAAATCAGGACCACGTCATCTGCATATAGGAGAGCTTGTGCCTGCACAGGAATCAAATTCCAGTATCCAACTGATGCTCAGGGTGACTAAATGCAGCCTTCAAGTCCAGGAAAGTCAAAAACAGTCTTCTTGCTCTGTCCCATGCTTTCTCAACAATCATCCTTAATGAGAAAATATGATCCTGGGTTCGCCGCTGGTCTATGGCCAGCCTGCTCCTCTCTTAGATCATACTCCACCAATCTCCTGAGCCTCTGTTCCAATATTCTTGTATACAATTTATATACTGCAGAGGATAAGCAAATTGGTCTATAATTCTCGAATTTTGAGTGGTTGCCTTTCTTGAAAATAGAAATTATAATATTATTTTCCCAGTCCTGAGGTATTTCCTTTTGCGACCAGATCTTTTGAAAGAAGTTCTGGAGGAACTTGACCATTTTTATCCTCCATATTTTATTGATTCTGGAATATTATCTCAGCTTGCTGCTTTGCATAATTTTATTTATTCCATAGCCATTGCAATCTTATCTTCCTCTATAACATCACTCTCACAACTTTCGACATGGTTTTCACGGATTCTAGGTCTTCTACGGCCATCATATCGAGGATATTGTCTGTATCCCTGGAAGGAAAAAGGTACTCTGGCAGTGTTTTTGCCATACTTTGAAAATTTCTTTTTTATTTGACACCAAATTTTTATTTAACACTTGAATCACTTTTCCAAATTCGCCCCAAGATTTTTCCTTGGCTTTCCTGACAATTAGCTTGGCCATGTTTTTCAATCCCATTGG